GCACAAGGATGCAGTTTTACATCTCACGCCCACGAATCTCGACCACCTACCTGTACGCACACGCACACAAAAAACGGGATTAACATCTACGTGCCAGAAAGAAGCTCACTCAGCTGGATGATCGGAAGCAACTAGTGTGATTTATATATGCAGTGACAATTACCTTGTCATCAAGTGCACGTTTTGAAGAAATTTCTCTCATGTCATGTGCCTTTCCTTTTGGGTGAGCCTCCAGGAATAATCAAGTTACCGTGCATCAGTAATGATAGAACACCTGGTCTTACTGACGTTGTAATTGCAGCAAACACAGAGAACTGCCAAGTCATTTGTGGCTCTCTTCAGCCCACTATGGTTCAACACTTTTTCTGATATGTATTATATTTTGACCTCTTAAGTTGTACTGTACACTTATGTAATCAGGTATAAAGTTGCACATCTTATTAAGCAACTTGTTCAAAATTATACAATTCTTTTATGTAGTTAAAAATCATCTTTTATAAAAATACTAAAAGTTAATAGTAACTTCTCAAACATTATGTGCAACTCTATTTTCTAAAGGTTATGTGTAACTTCATCAAATATTTTTTGTGGCTTCCCAAATATTATAAACTTTTTGATTGTGTCCACTATTTTCTGATTCTTTTTCCAAATAAAAATCATTTTCAGTGGAAATGTGCTCGTTTGTGCCAGAAAAAAGGGCTGACTTGGGAATACGGAAAAGATCCTTAATCCCATGTCGACCGCACTCCAATTGTACCCTTCTCTAAAACAGCTAGAGTTTGTAGCCCTATGTTTCAGAAATTTCTTACCATTTAAATGAAATATTGAAAAGAACAAGCTGTGTTTATCTACGACATATTCACACAAACTAATATTTTATTTGCCACAATTGAAACTAGAAATATTTAGCTACGAAATTTCAAACTTGTTTATCTAGCTATGACATTTAAAACTACCCTGTCTTTAGCTGCGACATTCAAAACTAACTAGACGATAAAGTTATTAGTTTTATTTGGCAGCGGAAATAGATGCAACAATTTAGATAACCCATTCAATTAGGGTTTGTTACTGAACCTGGGCTAGTAAAGGATACATATCAAAACCAATAACTGCTACACTTTGATGAAGCACATCAAGCACAATGCCCATCTTTTCATCTTACATTCCAAACCGAAATAGGCCTAAGATGTTTCACATGGATTCAAGAAAAAAACATTCATGGGTCGTCATGCTGACATATAATTGCCCAAACATAGTTAGTGAATATTCCTACTACTGGCCACAGCACTGTAGAGACGACAGGTCACAGAAAGGTCTTGTACAATCTGGAGCCACCCTTGAAGAACACACGCAAACACATTCTTCCTCCACAAACTCAAACATGAACAGACTTGACGCGCAAACATAGGTCGATTAACTCCAGCCGTCACATCGCATGGCCTGATACCAGATACCCTAAGGCAGGCACATGACTGCATTTCATACTCTCGACTTTTACATCGATCTCGCCTTCGAACAAGGGAGGGGAGCGCCCTACCTATACAAACAAGGAAACGAAATTAAGATCCACTGATACACAACTTGCACATGGCAGCACTACCACCATATCTTCCTCGTCCTACCAGTAATTTGTGATTTGTTTCCGGAAAGGAAATGAATCAAATGCAACACTTGCCTACCAGTAATTCTGACACTCTGAAGCGACCAAGACCACACCTCATTCCCAGCTAATACATCAGGTGTCCGTTTGATCACTCTCAAAAGTAGTTACATCACCAGTTCATCGTCTCTATCTCAACACAAATTCGACCCCAGTTTCCAAACCATAGCTCACAAATGAGGTGAAGTTGTAACTCAGAATTATATTTCAGATACAGTACATTGTGCCAACAATTTGACAAATGCAGAACAGACAACATCACACCATGCATCACTCTGAAAACCAAAAACTAACATCAGACCATTGTAATTAAGCACGAAACAGAGTATTTGTATATAAGTATGGTAAACATGGTCGATCTTTACTCGTGTTGCTTAAGAGAGAGGAGCGTCTTGAAAATACCCACTAGAACACCGACCACAGAGAATACCGTGACAATGGTTCTAAAGTTGTTGTAGATGAACTTGTGCACCTTGATCCACAGCCACCTGTTGACCTTGTAGCTCTCAATGTCTCTCAAGATGCGGCGGTATGAGCGGCTGGACGTCAGGTGCTTCGTAAGGCTCTTGAAGAGCTGGAGCACCTCTTTGTTTGTGAGTTCTCCTTGCACAATATGCTTCCTTCGTAGCTCGTGCACGTCCTCTTCCCGGTCCATGAGCATCGAAAGCAGAGCAATGTACGAGCAGATGGCCATCTCTTCATCACAATGTTGATAACGACGTTGACCCCCTGAGCTCGTGCATACCTCAAGAGCAGCCATATTTACAAGCCAACTCGCCCTTGCACTGCTTAACATCAGTGGCGTCAGGAAAAGCTCGCCAAACAGGGGTCCTTTCCTGATGCCAATTTCTGTGAAAATTCCTGTCCTGATGGCTTTGAGCTTGATGCCAATTTCTGCAAGCTCGATGACATTTGTAGATGCCGACACTGAATTGAGTTTTTTCCTGGACTTCTTTTTGGTTAATGGTACATGGCTTTCTATATGAACATCCTCGAGGTTGTTAGACTCTGCCATCATTCGGGTGTTCAACTCTTTCAATATTGTAAATACCTCCTTTAGAAGAGATGCTGGAAATGCTATCTTGCTGGCTCTTTTGGCCTTTTTGTTGGCCATCTTGATTTTGGTGGCCCTTTCCTTGTTTGTTTTGTAGAATCGAAGAAGACCAAGGAGATGAGGCGGTGTGTACTCTTCCTCCAAGTCTGAAAGGATTTCATCTTGTTTGATATGATACACACGGTTTGTGAGATTTTCTCCGAAGTTCAAAAGTTTCCTCTTCACTGGCACAAACCTAAAATCAAGGAGGGTTTCCACAACCATTCATGGGAGCTGGTTCTCCAGCAAGATTACATCATTAATGATAAATTTTTCGTTGGAGTGAAAAACATATCGCAACTCTGGGCAGTCAAGCAGGTCCTTGTTACCAAGCATAAACTCGAGCAAGAAGCATGCATCATAGAACATCATAGCCGCAAAGTCAGCATGGCTGATACCTGCCACCGCGTCTTTGGCATAGAGGCAGCGGGCCTTGTCTGCAACCTTGACGACAGCCCCATAGATCTCTTCAAGCGAGTGGCCGCGCGACCCGCTGATGAAGTGGTAGGCAGCCATGCCCTTCGCTTTCTCCATCTGCTGGAGGTGGGGTGAGCCATGGTGGTAAGGGCCGATGGCCACGACCCTGGGCACAATGTACGGGCTGCCGAGACCGCGCAGGCTTGCAGGGAACTTATGCATCTTCTCCTCTCTCTTGTTGAAATCAACCTTGAACTCTTGTGCTGTTTTTTCCAAGTAGTCATTATCAACCGGAGCCGAAGCCAGTAGCGCTGTCTCTGCAAAGTCCATGCCCTCATCAACTTGCTCACGGCTACATCCATGGATTTCATGCCCATCTGTGATCTCAGAGGAGGAAGCAAACTTAAACTGTTGAGCTGCTTTCCTTAAGCATTCCTCAACCGGAGCAGGTGGTGCTTCTGCAGAATCCATGGTCGTCTGGAGTGTCGAATCAACTTGCTGGCTGGGGGTATCACACACATCTGTTATCTCAACGGAGAAATCAGCCGCTTTCTTCAAATTGGAGTACAAATCAGTCGGAGCCACTGCTTCTTCAACGGCCTCAACCGTCGAATCAGCCGGCGGGTCGCAACAGCTACGAGTAGTACCCGGGAGATCTGCCATCTAGCTTCCCTCAGACAGCCGGATTGCGGCTACCTACCAACCGCTCCGCTGCTTCCCTGCTGTTTGCTACTGATAGTTAGAAAGTCACATTGCGATACTGATGAAAAGAAAACATGTACAGCACAGAACGGAGGAGATGCCGATACCTAGAAACTCACATTGGGATCCTCGTGATGCTCGCCGCCGGCCTCCTGCTGTGCCGGGCCAAGAAACAGTATCCTCGGCGGCGGGATGGAGAAGGGATGCCTCTTAAAAGAGGGGGAGAGGCGGAGGGAGGCGGGACGACGGCGGCGGCGGCTTCCCGTGAGCGATCTGGAGACAGTAGTGACGGGTACTGGAGAGTGGAGACTGTGAGAGTGAGCCATCCTGAACGTAGGAGTATTTCCTTAGTGGGCCGAATGGGCCCATCGCTACAAATAAAAACCCTAGAAAAACTCTTTCCTTTTAGCTCGCTGATGTATTCATCCCTGTAAGCACAACTGAGACGTCACATCATCTCGCCAGGAAACGTCTTCTTCAACTGAACAAACACGCCAGAAGATCTGATAAATCTAGGAAAATGTGACCATCGATGCAAAGTCTAGGACTTAAACCGTGATGGGTTGATTCCACCTCAAGGAACCTAACCATCTGAGCTACACTCAATTTGCAAAAAAAAAAAGGTCTCTTTTCTTACTCAATCGAAATGTTCCTACCTTCAGAATAAATCACAATTACAACATAAACATATTATAAAAAAGAATAAACTATATAAAAAAATAAAAAAAATCATGCTTTGTAAAAATTGTTCCATCGCTACGGACTCAAAAACAATGTATGTACATGTTCGTCATCCAGATACAAACGCTCGTTCCAGCTCCCTTCCCTCTGTTTCACAATTCCTACAATTTTCCTTTGCAAAACCTACAAACCGAACAGGGCCTCAAAACATGAACAGATTTGGCGCGCAAACATAGGTCACTTCATTTCATACTCTCGACTTTTACATTGATCTCGCCTTCGAACAAGGGAGGGGAGCGCTCTACCTATACACACAAGGAAACGAAATTAAGATCCATTGGTACACAACTTGCACACAGCAGCACTACCAGCATATCTTCCTCGTCCTACCTGACCGACACCGTGGGCGGTGGTTATGGTTCACACATGATCCGTCATCGCCGTCTCTTATTGTCTGCCTCCAAGAAATGCCAGGGGCTGCAGCAGCCTCGCTTGCGTCTGCAGTTGCAGCTCCGGCACTTTCTTCAGCGACCGGTACTGCAGCCGCGTACTCTCTCCGCTGTCGAGCGCCTTCACAAGATACCTGTTCAACCCAAAGATTTTTATAGTCCAATAATATGCAACAGGTTCTACTTCTACAGGAGCTGCAGTGAGACGAGTCACGAGTGCGAAGCCACAGTTCGTCCTGCGCTATTAAAAGAGAGTGAAGCACTGCACTTACCAGCCATTCAGACACTGCGAAGTGATGACCGCCTCCTTCCCGACAAATTTCTCGGGCGTCCTTTTGTTCCCCTGCAAGCATTTAGTAATCAGAACAAACTGCTCTTGTGACTTCACTTTACTCTCAGAAGCGCAATGTATTGAGTGTACCATGATCAGGACCCTCTCGCCCACTACAAATGGGTACTGCACTCCCCTGAATGCCACCGGGCTTTCAGCATCCAGAGCAAGCTCACTGTTTCCCTGAGAAAACAAGACGATAACTATTCAAACAGTATGCTAGGACGTAAAAGACTAGGTGCATGTTCAAAGGATTATACACACACTTTGCTACTCCCAGTCCGCTTCAGCACATCCGTATGCTCGGTCACATCTTTCCTGCGCTTCCGAAGAGCGGCGTTATGAAACAGTCTCCTGTCATCCTCCATCTTCACCACCGTGGCTACTGCTCTTAAAGCTGTTCATCACAGAACACTGCCGATCGTAAGTGAGCAGGTGAAACATTGTTAATGCTAGTCTTAATAAGGAAGGTAAATATACGACAGAGACATACCGAGATTAGGAAACAAGGAGGATGGGTCAACTTCTCCATTGCAAATGGTGCATCTAGCCTGATTACATTACAGTGATAAAAAGAAACAATTTGTTGGTTGGTGACATCCCAAAAGACGGGAGTTGCAGCACACAGAAAAGATACTATTTCAGGTTTGTATACTAAAGTATGCCTTTGCTGTGAGAAGGTTCATCAAAATGGCACTATTCTTCTCAGTAAGTTCCAGTTGGATTATCTGTTACTATGGCTCTCTAGATGTCTACTAAATACTAAAACTGTATGAATACCACAATTTTAAGTTAGAAAAATTAATGCCAGCATAAGTATTTAGATTTTTCTAAAGCGTACCATTTCAATGACTTTCTTCAGCATGACGCCACCAAATGAGTGCCCACATTGAAGAACCATAGCATCTTCAAGAAAAGCCCCACTGAAAACAGACAAGTCCATTACTGCATTAATCATGCAAATCAGCAACTGCGATGTCGAATAATGAGATGATCTGTAACATTGGTTTGGAGAAACAGAACACTACGAGCATTCATATTAAGCAATTTTGTCCCTCCCTTGCTCCCATTAAACTTACGATGAACGCATAAAAAATAGCAGATGTAGAAGGACCATGCAGAATAAGGCAATCTATGTATATGTTGTGAACAAGTTTGTGATGAACAGCTACATCCAACAAGGAACAACTTACGACAGAGGGTCTGACAGGACACTTCTGAGTGATGGGTCGCTAACAAAGTTGCCCTGAGATTCCTGCAGTTGAAATTGGTTAAATATGGGCAATTTTTAAAATTCAGAGCAACAAATGAACAGGAAATGAAATGCACATAACACCCAATTCTTGTCAGTGTATTACTTTCCTACTCTCACAGATTTGAGAGCTGTGGCAGCTCTCATGTATCACTGGATAATTGACCATGTAGAACATGCATGCTACAGTAACCATGTTGCTTCGAACTTATGCTTACAGAAGGTTCTTCCAAGTGACTGGAAACAGCGTGCTCTTCAGCATAAGAATCATCCATAAATTGGCTTGCAGGTATGGGTTGGTACACCTGTCGTATGCAATGCCCAGCAGCTAAAATTGGAGAGCAATCCAATATAGCGCTGGCATGAGGCACCAACCTAAAGGTGAGTGATGCCCTACAAGATGAAAATTGCGGTTAGATGGCCAATTCATGTGTACAGGAGCACAAGGAGTATAAGCCAAAAAAAAAGTATATGAAATGACATGGTGAGATGTTCCAGCATTTCATAATTCTGACCTATTCTCATTAGTGACCCTGTACTGGGAAATTGGGCAAAGACCAGCAGTAACATGACTTAGGGCCCTTCCAGTCAGAAGCAATAGATTATTTGGGCCTGAAACCCCATCAGCTAGGTACCAATGGCCATTTGAGTCACAAACCTACCAAAGAAACAAGCACTAAACAATTATGACTTGGGCAGATGAATTGTACCAATGGCACGGAATAAGACTGGAATCAGTTGCACATAGTACAAAAGGAGAAAACAAGATGTAAACAATAGGAGGCTAAGAAAACGGTAGCGTATTTAACCAAAAGTAAAGTAGCCATGACTCAAATGCTCTATTGCTGCATTCAAATTTTAGATACATGTAAGGAGCAGAATTTTGTTACCTCAATTCCTGGATTATCGGAAGCAACTAGTGTCACAAATCCCCTATCAACTTGAGGCATTGAGGACCTGCTGAGATATCCCATGAGTGTGTGACCACTTTGGAGCTGTTCATGAGAATATGCCACCAGCAACTCTGATGAGGAGACCTCGTTAACCGGCAGTGGAGTATCATCAAGTAATTGGTTGAATACGCTGGATAACAGGGCATGATTATTAGCTAGTAGAATTCTGGGAACGTGGAGAGCATATTAATCAATAGTAAGAGAAATTCAACCAGGGGATAAAGGGCAAGAAGTGTACTCGGTACGTAGGCGCAGGTGCCGTGCTATTGCACTGAGAGCGGCACGGGCTGCTTTGCCCAAACATCTGAAAGCATCAGCCATGCAAGCAGGCGACAACTCTCCATCTTCCAAAGTCCTGACATAGAGTAGAATTACCGAAACATATCAGAAACCAGCCACAAAACGTTGCCTGATTTGACAGAAGAGGGAAAAAAACATGTGCAGAGCTGTGACCTAACTAGCTTACATCTGACAGCCCCCTTTGCCTAACAATCTAGCATACAGAGGTTAGTAAATCAGCAATAGTGTCCTTACCCATAAGACCCTAATTCTAGGTTCCTCCTAATTTTTCTATAATCAACATGTTTTTTTTCATTTCATTTTGGAATGTAAAAGATGTACGTAAAACACAATCTACTATGTTAATACTGGCATACATATGAGGCAACTTCTTGTACTCCCTCCGATCCAAATAAAATGTCGCAGCTCTAGTACAAAGTTGTACTGACGCTGCATCATTTAATTTGGATCGGAGGGAGCACATCTTCTTTGGTATAAGAGGCAATTCTTGTACATTTACATTTTGAGTATGAAGCAATTCTTGTACATTTTGTGTTGATAGACCACCAAAATAATGTATACAGCATCATCTGTCAGTTCACTAAGAGTCTAGTGCTAGAGTAATCAAAGAGATGTAACCATCACCATTCTATTTCAGTCACACTCCGGCCCCGAAAACAGAGGAAACAGAGCAATATTCCCAATGTTCAGGAATGTTGTGTATGGTCAGCCAGCTCTTTCAGACTTTCACCCTTGTGGTTCGCTCACACTCCGGCGCTGAGCCAAACCGGAATCTAAACTACTGACTCAAATCTAAGACGAAGTAGGCTGCAGATGCAATTAAGGATACCTCCCGGCGCGGTAGAGGTAGGCGGCGTGGCGGCCACGGAAGAAGGCGCGGGCGGACTCGAGGGCGCAGCGGACGACGGCCGCGTCGGCGGCGGGGAGCTCGAGCACGGCGGCGCCGCGGCGGGCGAGCGAGGCGGCGAGGGCGCCGACGGCGCGCGCGTAGCCCGGGGCGGCCGCGCCGTCGTGGGGCGCCACGTCGTCGAGCCGCACCCTGGCGAGCGGCGACGGCGGGCAAGGAGGGCATGCCATGGCGAGCCGGCGGGCCAGGCTAGGGTTCCGAGCGGCTCGATTGCTGATTCGCCGCCATTGAGCTTACTCAGCTTGAGCGAGACTAAGAAAAATGATGCTCCTAAAAATAAATGTGGACCCCACTTTTAACTATGGTGGTAATTTTAACTACTTTTATAAAAACATTCAACTGAAACTAGGTTTAGGAAGAAGAAAAATGCACCTCAACTAGAGGATTCGATTTGAGCTGTTGTTACCCTTCGACAAGTATGACCAACTGCAAAACCACCTTCAGAACAGTGGGGCTCTCCGAACGGTCGATGCGCTACTGCAGGGTCCACATTTTCTAAAAGGGTACAATGTTTTTCCCCTTGTGCCAACCCGTCTGTACTAAATGAGAGACCCGGATCTAACTTAACAGTATCAAGTTTGGAACCTCGTTCAATGCTACGTTGAGGTGTAACTGCAATGGCGGTGGTGCTGCGGCGTCTTGAGTTGATCTTGATGGGTAAATGAAAATGATGATAATAACGTATGTTAGAGAATCTTATGCATTTATTCATCCATTTGTAAAATGAAAAGAAAATTGTACATAACAATACGAGCTTTTACGATCCGCTAGTAGTTTATGTTTGCTTATTTTTCCTTGCGTCACTATAGGCCTCATCGTCTTATAGGAGCGCAAACGGCTGTCTTGCCTAAGCCCAATCTTGAGGTCGACACCAACTCCTTAAGCTGACATCACACTGAAATTATGGCTCATTGGCAAGCCTCTACCCATGCTGACTGAACCGTGTTTTGATAGGTAGTAAGTTGTTTGTAATTGTAAAGCCAACTTTTCTCCTTCTACTGTTTTCAAATAGAACCAAGTGACATTGCGAAGTTGATAGACATGTGATTAGCGGTGGTCAATACATTGTCTCAATCAGCCCAAGAAGGGTATGAGGCGAAGTCCCTATCATGCTTAGGTTGTGTCCATATCCGTATTAGTTGAAGATCATCTAGTTGGTTGCCACATGTGAGTGCTACAGTTTTGTAACTACCACACGACACGGTTAGGAACATTGCAATTTACTAATCCCTATTTTCATCATGGTGGACGGGCAAATACTACCGCCGATAAGCTCATCGATGCTATGTGACCCTCTGTGTCCCCTAATGAAGTCGTCTCTCGCGCTCTACCAAACAAAAGGTTTAAATCAAAAGATGATGTGTTCAAGAAGATAGTCTCTGCTGCCACATCACTCACCGAGTTTGCTAGAGACGGTAAGAAAGTTGATGCATTTACCACTGCCTATGTAGTGGCCAATGATGCAACCATTGTTCTTGCGTCCACTCACAAGTTTGTTGTGATGGAAAACACTTACACAAGGTTGCTCATTCATCCAAGTATGCGTTGAAGGTCTTTTCTATTATCACAAACTTGTTAGCAGGTGTGACAACAAATGACTACATGAGCCACCATCATGTAGGCAGTGGTAATTGCAACAACCTTCTCATGAAGCCTCGGCAGGCAAAGTGGAAAAATAGGATTTGAAAGCCTCCATGAGAACAAAAGCAGTGAGACAAGATCCAGTCTGAAAGCGAAAGCTACAGATTGGGGGAAAATTGTGATGGAATATCATTGGTTATGGAGAAGATGACCAGTCCCCGCTACCGCTAGTTGATGGGTCCAATTCTTTTACTTAGCCAGGTTAATGTCCAAATGTATCCATAGCCCACATGCACATTGATCTCTCGCTGCAAGTGGGAGATCCCATGCTCACCACCATCTTGGAATCACACTTCCCACAAAATGTAAAGATTTTGGCTCCTACGCCTTGAGAGATTGAACACTAAGGCTAATCTCCATTGAAAACCCTTACAAGGTAATGTCCCATGTCCTTGATGCAACAATGCAGGCGAGGGCGGTCGAGGTGCCGACACATGTTCTTCACATGCTCGGTTGGCTCGGCGGGCTCGAAGTGTGTGGGTGCAAATCGAATTCAGGCACTCTCAAGCTCGTCCTCCTCATCACCATAGTTGTCCGGAGGAACATACAGAATAAAGTCATCCTTTGGATCGTGGTAGTGGGCGACCTCAATGCGGCTAAAGTCCATCTTCTTTCATCCTTCCTTGGTGAATGTGTCCGTCTTGGCCACATTGGCTATGTAGTTGTAGTCGAACTCGACATAGCCCAGCCTCCTGTTGATCCTCGATCGCATCGATAGCCGGTGTCTTGCGATCCAGGCTCTGGTCTTCGTCGCCGTTCGGATCACAACCTCGAGAGCCTTGTCGGGAACCACCAGAGCTTAGCGCTGGCCTTGGTCTTTGTCTTACTTTTACCCTTGTTCATAGTACACGTGTGATTAGCGGTGGTGGAGTATATCGTCTCAATCGGCCCAAGAAGGGTACGAGGCAAAGGCCCTATCAGGCTTAAGTTGTGTCCACATACTCAGTGGGCTTGGCGTGTTTGTGTGTGTGTGCCGCATGGGACGCTACAAATGCATAAGTGTTGAGATGTCTAGAGACCTAAGCCGTTGCGGCAATGGTCACCTAATATCTTTCTATACATTTTTTTGCGGGAATATCTTTCTGCATGTTGAGAATTAAATTGGTTATACATTATGTGGATGTATTTTTTGTTTACAGAAGATAAATTTAGAAACTAATTTTGCGCCAAAAAGTTATACAATGTTCGTGCCACAGAATCAACACCCTTGGCGCAAAATTACATGACTAGCTATTGGTATCTTTCTATACTTTGAGAACTACATTTGGTGCTACATTATGTTGATGTATTTATTATTGCTAAATTTAAAAGTAAATCTTGCGTCGGAAACGCCATTTGTGCCAAAAAATAACACCCTTGGCCCAACTAATATTGCATCAATTGTTTTCCAAATTCTGACACGCTGCTGCACGATCCCGACATGGCAAGTGCACATGCTACACGGCGCACGAGCACATATCCTTCACCCTTTTGTTGTCTCTCTCGCAGAAAAACACATCTGCCTTTTCTCTGTTCGTTCCTCACCATATCCCCTTCTCCCTCGTCCCTACCTTTTCCCCTTTCTCATTGCATTTGAGGCCGAGCATGTAGGTCAAGTAGGAGTCAATGAAGGGGAGAAATATGTCGATGCCAATCCCTGGGGTTGAAGGGGGTGGCGGTGGACTAGAGGTGTGTGGTGATCAAATCGGACATGCAACTCCACCACCTCCTCCTTCCTTTTTTTCTTGGATCTGGAGCGATGACGTTGTTGGCTTCGTGCGACCTCATGCATCTCCATCAGGTCGTGAAGGCGAGTTGCGCAAGTGCGGTAAGCCAGGAGACGCAGGGTCCGCCCCTATTCGAAGAGCCACCGCACTTGAGTCTTGCACAGAGGTAAGCATCTTCTCCTTTTTCATACCCTCGCTCTATGATGTTGTACACCCATGTTCGGGAAGTTGGCACAAACAACAATCGGATTTGCACATCGACTACTATACAGTTGGTCGGGGCAGTAGACGAAGTTTCGCATATCCCTGGCTGGGTAGTTGCAGTAGGAGGCCATCAACAAAAACTATACATCCACGAGTAGGTAGAAGTACCAAGTTTTGCGCTATGGGAGCCAACATTTGTACTATGAGAATCAAGTTTAGTGCAATGAGAACCAACTTAGTAGGCTCTCCTTTCGTGATATCACTTGGCATAAAGTTCCCGTAAGTTGTCCACCATGACTACCAAGTTGACTAACATGTACCCTAAGTTTTTTATCATGACTAATGAGCACTCTTAACATCATCGAAAGTTTGACCTACAATAGGTTTCTGCGCCGTATGCAACTTAGTTTTCCATGTACAAAAGTTACGAACCATGGTATGCAACTTTTACAATGTTGTAAGCAATTGAGCATCATTGGGTAAGCAACCCCATAGTGATGTGTAGACCTTTTTTTGAGGTGGCCAACTTTCACAGTAGCATGGACAACTAATGGGCAATGGTATGCAATTGAGCATCACTAGTAGGCGGCTTCACTCTGTAATACTAAAGCTGGTTGTTGTACCACCAAAGTTAATTTTGGAAAAGTTAGTTGAAATATATCCAAACGGGTTCTATCTTTCGGAAAGGTGCATCATGCAGCCAAATTTGCATGATGTAGCATCAAAGTTGGTTTTCAAAAAAAATTCAGAAACATACCTAAATAGGGTCTGGCTTTTGGAAAGTTGGTTGTTGTAGCACCAAAGTTGCAGCATGTAGCACCAAAGTTTTTTCAAAATTTTGTTGGAACATAAATGGGGTATAGCTTTTAGAAAGTTGGTTCATGTAACATCAAAACATCATGTACCACCAAAGATGGTTTTGAAAAAGTTTGTCGAAACAAACCCAAACGGGGTCCAGCTTACGGAAGGTTAGTTGATATATAACCAAAATTGGGCCATGCAGTACCAAAGTTGGTTTTGAAAATTTTTGTCGAAACATAGCCAAATGGGGTCGATCATTCAGAACGTTTGTTGATATAGCGCCAAAGTTACATCAGGTAGCACCAAAGTTGGTTTTCAAAAAGTTTGTCGAAACATACCCAAATGTGGTCCAGCTTTTAAGAAGTTGGTCGATGTAGCACCAAAGTTGCATCATGTAGCACCAAAGTTGGTTTTGCAATAGTTTGTGGCCCATTTTTGAGGAAGTCGACAAACTTTTTCAAAACCAACTTTGGTGCTACATCAACCAACTTCCTGAAAGCTGGATCACATTTGGCTATGTAGCAAAGTTGCATCATGTAGCACCAAAGTTGGTTTTGAAAAAGTGATAAACCTTTTCAAAACCAACTTTGGTGCTACATGATGCAACTTTTCAAAACCAACTTTGGTGCTACATGATGTTACTTTGGTGCTACATCAATCGAGTTTCTGAAAGTTGTACCACATTTGGGTATGTTTCGGCAAACTTTCTCAAACCAACTTTGTTGCTAAATGATGTAACTCTGGTGCTAGATCAACCAAATTTCCGAAAGTTGGACCCCATCCGAGTATATTTCGATAAACTTTTTCAAAACCAACTT